GATTTCCCCCCATTCTTGCCACACTACAACCGAGCAGGAGAGCAATTACGACAGGAGACTGCTGAAAATGTCTTGGAAGATTATTTAAATCTTTTTATTTCGCACCATTTGAGGTTTTGATCCTTTTGTGTGAAGTTTATTGTGTGCTATGAAAGAGTTTGACAGTTTTATCTGCAGAAGCATTCTTAACAATTTCGATTGAAATAGCATGATGCCAAAATGGTTTTATTAATCCGCAAATCCTCAAATGAAACCTTTGTCGAAATATTTCTCCGAGAGGACGCATTTGGAGTGCTTTCTGTGTTGAAAGCGGTAGAGCGAAGGGGGAACTTGCGTCAACGTTAAAAGCGCGATATAGTGTAGCCACACAAGGATTGTAGGTTGGTTAGTAGACAAGAGGAGTATTAGCGATTTATCTGTGAAAAGCAGACAGAGTGGGGAGATAAAAGGGAGAATCGTAAATTACAATTTAATCGCCTGTCGTGTCCATCTCATTCCACCCAGGACAAATTTTCTCTCTCGCAACGTGGCCAATTTGGCGACTTTGAGCGTCGCACATATAGTTTCTGAATGCTGGCTTTAGTTGCGGTCATAGAAGGGCGAAATTTGCCGTCGATTCAATAATAAGGAATCACTGAGGCATTTTAGCCTTAAAATAAAATCCATTTCCAATATAATTCCCGAAGAGATCAAATTTTAAAAGTTTCCGCTCATCTTCTGAATCCGCCCCAAATGCCAACATTGCGATTTTTCTGCCTCTTCCTCTTCTGATCATCAAAGCAAATTGCCAGATTAAAACCATCCTTATTGGCGTGCTTGAGAAATTGAAAGGAATTATTGTATCTAACAATTTCCGGATTTTGAGCATACACACACGCACGCAGAAAATGTCGAATGGGTGTATTTATTCGGGTGGAAAAGAAGTGCTAAGCCGCAAGAAAATCCTTAAACATTTTATATAAGGAGATCCTCTCTCACAATTTACCCTATGAATCTTGAATTTATATACATTAAAGTCGTATTTAGGAGTAAAAATTACTCACACTTTCGCATAATTTGGAGTTTAAGGACTTTGGGTGAAATTTTCAATGAGCAAATTTTGAAATGATGAGAATAAATTGTTACTTCAAATCTCTTTTCGAAACAATTTCGGTATTATATATTTTACACTATATGAATTTATGTATTTTGTTCATGTGCTGTAGATGACAATGTAATTATATTGTTGTTCTACAAGTATTATTGATTTATTGATAATTGTTGCTAATATAACAATAAGATTACGCTCTGGAGATTGTTTTGTGGAACCATTGAATATTAATTCAATTGAGACTCTCAACATATTCGCATGTTGTACAGTAACAGCATGTTAGTATGCATATCAATCCAAATCCACATAATATTCCACATCAGCAATTTTGTTCAATATAAGCAAGAATTCCATTATAAAGGTGGGAAGTGATTAGGCAGATATTTAGATTTGTGTAAGACGGGTTTAGCGTCAAAACAACAAGCATTGAAACCAAATTTCACAATAAACCTTCAGTTCATGCAAGTTACTTAAGACAGAGCATAGTTCGTTGGTGATCCTAGAGAGGCAAAAGATGCACAAATTGGAATGACTGTCGATTACACATTGGAAACTATATAAATTTCCCTCTGGAATGAGCTCTTGTGAGCGTCATATTCACCCTTGTAAGTCGACCAATTGTAAAATGTAAGTTATATATGCAAAATCCTGGAAATTCAATTAAAATTTCAGATAAAGCGAAACTCCAGTGACTTGGTAGCTAATTTACTGGGTACAAAGAAAATACCGTCGCAGTGTGTCGTAAGACAAGCCCAAATATATTGGATTTGAAGTGTCTGTTGGAAATATTTCTGTGTGCAGAGCGAATTTTCAATAAATCGCTTCGTTGCACTCTAATTGAAAGAAAAGGCACGATATTGGTGCAATAGAGGCAGAATGACTAAAATCGGATATGGAAAAAGCCATGGAAAAGCTGGGAATATTGTGTGTCTCCATGAAAGTTTCCAATTGCATTATTTTGGATTCCATTGTGCAGTTTGCTTCTCTGCATCCAATCGCTTAAGTTTCAATCAATAACTTCACCATATTTTATGCGCACAAGTGGTAAAAACGTGTTGTGCTGTAATTAAATAACCCCTTTGTTTTTACGATTCGCGACTACCTTGGGTCAATGAGAGAAAAGTTGCTTACAAAGTATGTTTTTCGCTTATAAAATCACGTGTTTTTGGATTATCATAAAACTTTTCTTATGCTCTTCATCGTGTGGCGTTAAGATTGCACTATATTCAATTCTATGTGATTTAATAATTTCATCTGCTTCACCTTGAGTTCAATTTAATCTAATATCACTTAAGCCATGTGGAAAATCTTAATTCCAAGGGTAAGGAAAAACATGTTTACATGACACACTTCCGTCTATGTATTCTTCGCTCATCGGTGTGTGTTTAGATAGTGCTTCACGGGAGGAAGGAAAATGAATTGCCTGAAAGAGATACCTCACAAGCGATATACCTTAAGTGTTTAAGGGGATTTGCAGCATAGCTGCGAATGAAATAAGGAAAATGGGATTTTTCCGTGTGTCTCATTACGAATTTTCCCAGAATTTTCCAATTATGTAATTCATGTGAAATTTATGTGTGCTTTGAAAGAATGCGCGTGCCATCGAGAGTATGAAAATATGCCGCTTGTTTGCTGAAAAGCTGTGAGCATTGCGTTGGGGCGGGGAAAATGGAATTTTTCACAAGTGTCCATTCATCTTTGTGACGCTTTCGGGGCGCGTGATTTTAAAAAGATAGAGTTGACATCACGGAGTCGGAAAGGAGATAAAATGCTATTAAGCACATTTAAAACTCCCTAAAACTGGGAAAGGACAAATGACGTGAAAATTGCCAGTATTATTCTTTGTCACGTATAAGAGACATCCTATCTCAGTGCTCTTTGCCAACGCAGAAGTGTTGGTATCACCTTTTGGGATGTCTCAAGAGTTGAGATACATCGTGATGGGGCTCTTCTTGTCACATACAGCATCTAAAGCATTGCGAAGGAGTTAATACTTTGGCACATCTACACTGTCGCATACTGGATGACATAGTATAATGTAGCGAAAAGATAAAGGGCAGAATTTCTACAATTTCTGACACGTCCTAATCACATCATTTTTCCCACCCGTGGAAATCCACTTATCTATCCCAAGAATATCTTTTCAGATGCAATAATCATGAGAATCTCCCTCGCAAGTGAGAGTCACTGCAGTTGGAGAAGTAGACTTCTTGCAATTTGCAGAAAGAGAATGGTCGTGTTGGGAATGCAAAGAGCCAGACAAGCTGAAGGAATATTGAAACAATGAGATTGCATTTAATTTTATAACACTTTGAGCAAAGATACCATGTAAATTGTGGGTGGAAATTGAGATTACAGTTCAGTAATTTAGAAGGTTTGCAAAAGAAACCGCACAGAACAGGTTTGGACTTCTTTATCATCAGAAATCATATAATTCGATAATAATATTCTCATACTTCTCTCTATATGCAAGTATTTTCCAGAAAATCCATATGGAATCAAAACATGCACTAAATTGTGCCATTATTTCTCGCCTCAGAATCCGGATCACTGTGTGGCTTTACTTAACGCGTGGATATTTTCTAATCCCATTTCCGGGTAAAGTATAATATTTGTACCATGGAATTTACCTCTCGCTGGCAAATTTTCCAAATTGGGATACTGTGCGGAGAGTGCACGGAAAATTGCATGAGACCCGAATGATACACGTTTTACATAGAATATTATGTGCATGCATTTCGTGCATTCACAATGAGATTGCCTGAGATGCACTGTATGAAGAGGAGAATGAAGCCGAAGAGCACAAAATATAGTGTTGGGGAGCAAGAATTTAGTTTGTGCAAAATTATTTAGGGAAATATTAAAATTCCAGCTCCTCTGAGCATTTTTTTTTGTCAGAATATGACATTAATTAGGAAGACTTTCAGTAAAATATGCTGATATATTCTGATCGCTCCATCGAAGTGGGCGAGATTTTGAGCGGGATGATTATGCGAAAAAACAGAAGGGTTGCGGATATTTTGATTGAGTACCTACTAAAATAATTATATATTAAAATCTGCATAATTCCTCTTGGTGATGATCCCATTTAATTTTCATCGAAAGATTTTGAGTCATGATAATTTTCTGGTTCAAGCCGAGAGTTAATTAAAATGTATAATAAATGGTTATTTCAAATTATGAGCCTCTCTCTCTCTCTCTTTCATTTTTTTTCTGTGATCTCTCGTGGTCTTGTTGTGAAGTGTCGGCACAAGAGAAGAGGTAATTTGATGAAGGATAATTCTAATGAATCCCACTCAGACTTTATTAATGGCGGCTGCCGAGAAGCCACTTATTGAAATAAGCTGACCAAGAAGTTCTCCTTCCGTGCAAAAGGGCTAATCTCTCACTGGATTCTTGCAACTTTCTGAAGATCGTAATTTGCACTAATTCATCATGAATCATCTAATTTCACTCCACCCCGCATAATTAAAATCCTCTTTCATTGGATCGCCAATTGAAAAGAGTGAGTCATCCACTTCTGCAGTCATTGTGTCACGCTTCCTCTGTTCTAGCGCGGCTGAGAGTGCGATTTGTGGATTTAATTAAAGATTTCAGGTGAGAAATATGACCTCTCGGGTGAATAAATCCATTACCTTTAACATTTCTGCAGTGTCCAATGTGCACAGTGTGATCGGGGGCAGGGAGACCTTTGCAGAGACTGTGATTCGGAAAGTGGAGTTGAAAGAGGAAGATAATAGTAAAGACATTGACAGTTCCCCAGGGTATTAGTCGGTGCAGACCACATGGGGGCTCAAGAAATGGAATTTTCCCCATTGTTTCCATTCGCTCCATTTAACCCTTTGTACTGGCTCCATCACACCGATGCGATAGAATGAAGGACTGTCGAACATTTTGTAGACATTCATACAATCGAATTTGTGCTGCTGATGCTCCAACCACTGGATTTCGCCTCGTGTTTGAAATCACTCCCACATAATTCGTGCGGTGGTGTCCACACGAGTGTCACCCCCGCTGTGATGTCACCCTTGGGCGCCATGTATACTTGTCTAGAATGCAATATAAATTTCTAATTGTATTTTTCGTCCGCTCCAATTGCTCGGGAGAGTTGGGCATCTTCGGGACTCTGGAATTCTTAAATCGCATTTCATCCACCTATAGGGCAGCTGCTGCTCAGGAATTTTAACTGAAATACTAGCCCAGAGTGAGGAGAATCAAACCTACAATCAGACACAAAGGGGGATAAAAGAGTGCAAACGCTGCTAAAATATTGCAACTTCTAACGAATTCCCAATATATGTGAGACGGAAGCGCAAGAGAAGAGGATCAAGAACTGTGGAGAAGCATACACAGTGCGGTATCATTTCCAAATTCCTCTCGCAAGGAGCACACATTGTCCTTTCTTATGCGTCCAATTGAGTAAAGTATTCAATGAGGTATTTCCGCATCAGCGCATCATTTCTTAAAATGGATTACTTAAGAATCATTGTGATAACTTCAAAACAACCATCTCCAGAAGAAATATCTCAGAACCAGCATTTGCCATTGGCGGGAAGATAACATTTTCAAAAAATACACTGTCAATAAATTAATATTGCGTGAAACATGCCATTCTCTCATACAGATCAGATTCTTAGCAATCTTACTTGCCACTTTTCAGTGCTTTCAAAGGATTTCCACTTATCGAGCGGAAATCGAATTATGTCGCTGAATAGCAACATCAGGCAAGTTCTATACAATTTATTCATGTGTCTGCAGAGGATTCGAAAGCTCTTCAAAGCCTCCGCCGAAACTCAACGGCAGGCAGGAGGAGAAATGGTACGACAACAAATAAATTGTGCGGAAGATGCTCAGCGATGGGAGTTTTCTCGGGGCGTATTTATGATGTTTGATATGTGACATGAGCGTGGGCGCAAACACTGGGTCACGCACTCCTGTGTGACCTATTTGTCACCCAGTGTGCGCCGCCCCACGGCTTTGCTGGGAGCTTTTGAGGGCCCCACTTGGCGCATTTGTACGTCAAATGTGCCGAAACCCCTCAACAATGGCACTTCATTTTGCATGGGAGCCGTGAGCGGAGTGGATTTCCATTAGGAGGCGCATTTTATTGCGGATGAAGGTGCTAAAGCGAAAAGGTAGCGGGAAAACTGCAATGTATGGGGCACACAATAATAATACACAGAATGGAAATGCTGAAACGACACCCACGCGGGGTGAAGATTCACTACTGTGGCTGTCTGAATTTATCTATAGCGTGTAAATAGAGACATTTCTTCTGAGATTTCACCACCTTCTGCCATGTCGCCTTCCCATTTGTCGGAGTGAGATTTTTCTCGACGCATCTTCCTCCAGAGCATTTGCTCAAAAGAGCGGAAAACACACCTCCTTTGCGCTTCTTTAATTTCATTTTCTTCCACTATGACTCGAGGTCGACATTAAGTAAGACCATCAATATCAACGATCCTCTTATATATTATTATTTACTGGATTTTCTGAAAAGTTTTTATTTTAAGTATACAGCTTTTTGCGCCTTTGAATTATGCATAACACTTGCATCACTATTTAACATTTCATTCAGCAGAATTTCACACATCGATCGATATCGTATGAAACGTATAAATCAAACTAATGTCAAGGTATGTTTATTTTCCGTATAATTGTTTAGTATGGAATAGTTTGATGCTTTGTTTTACTTTAAAACTTTGTAAACACCGCATCTGTTGCAAGCTTTAGCGAGCTTTAATAGAGTGGTTTGCCACGAAAATATATGTATTTGTTGTATGAAACTTAAATGGATTTTCAGCGAGAGATAGCGATTTGAAACACATTTAAGTTCATTTGAGATAAAGATTATCGATTAAGACAGCTGATGATGCTGTGAACTTAATAGTGTATTAATTGTAGCGGAAACTCTATTTCATATTACTAGATATTTTTCGAAAAATGATATTATTTCAATTTTCTTTACAAAATAATGGAAATGCACATATTGAAATAACACATAACAAATGAAAGCGCAGGAAGAATGACGTCTGTGATATTACGTAAGTAGTTGTGGGAGCTTTTAAGTTGTACAAAACCTTGAAGTTTCATATTTCTGTACAACAAATGTTCCGAATTTTCAGTTGTGTTACTCGAAAAGTCTACTATCTCTCAACAGAATCTCATTAGTGAGTAAACTTTTGAAATTCGTCTGTTGTGAGTTAATCATTTAGCAAGAAAGGGGGAATAGGTCTTTCATTTTGGTTCACAACATATGAGCTTTCAGTTCCATATCCAATTAGAAATCTTCAATCCATCATCTTTACTGTGTCTTCCGTATTATTCATGCTACACAGATTTTCAGACTCTTCTGTCTTTGTTGTATCACATGTGGAAGCGAGTATGGAATCTGCAAGACTGTATTTTGCCCTTGACGAAAAGGTGCAATTCATCATTATTTAGAGAAGCTGGGAAGAATACAACTGAGACTTTGATGTATATGCTGAATTCACAACGATTACAAAGCCCTTTCTGCAGTCATCCGCTGTGACTTGAACCCTCTTCGGAGTCTTTATTACCCACAAATATTCACGTGACTGTTAGTTGCATAATTTCTGGGAAAAATTCCTCCAGGACTCTGCAGTCGGTAATTATCACAACTAAATTCAGACAGTCAGAGTGTTATATGTATTCACCGGGCTGACTTGACGCACTACAGGAGGACATGTACAGGAGAAATGTTCAGGAAATGAAACAATATGGGAAAAGTTGTTTAATCATGTTACAGTATTTTCCATGGTTGAGATAGTGTAAAAGGAGTGCTGTGGAGGAATCAAATTTCCACGAAATGGAACAAACTTTTCATTCACTCCGCTTTATTTTAACTACATTTCCCTGTTATGTGGTTTCGTGCAAACTCCAAATCCTCATGCTGTAAGTCAATCCAATGAATGAAGGTAGGATTGTGACGAAGATAGATCAGATATCGAATTCTCTTGGAAATTATTCAACAACACATTATCCACAGGTTTCGAAAGTTAAGTGGCAAAAAGTTCTCGTGTAACCTAATACGATGAGTAATTAACTTTTAATTGACTTTCGGCTCAAATTTTTCAATTCGCGTAATAGAGACGTTCGATAGACTGAACAGGAGTTTCAGGAGTCCCGAATCCCTCAAACAGCGAACCTTCTTTCACCTTTTTCGTGTAATAAGAAATATGTTTAGTATCTCAATCCCAAACGAATTCTTCTGGAAATCAATTTTGTAATGACCTACGCGAATTTATAAATGACAGAATTTACTGTATTTCAAATGAGTAAAGACTCCGGTCAGTCCTATGCAAACAATTTCTCAAGTATTTTGCACCCATTTAAGAATTCAGTTAAATTGCTCATTGAGAAGTTGGCAGCAGAATTTGCGGTCTGAAGAAAATTCAAAATACATTGAATAATTTATTTCGAGTCGAAAGCAAATGAATAGGAAAGTTTCCCTCGACTCTAGAAAATGTCAACATTTCATTTATACTTCCATTATTATGAGCACTTGTAGATACACGAAAAGCGAGTGAAAGCCGAGGAAAATTAATTTGCTCAAGAAAGACACACTCACAAATATAATGTGAAAATGCTTAGACACTGGAGCCCATTATTAGTCACAGTTGCGATAAATAATATTCACGGGATTTCCCTCTTGAGGGGTATTCACTCACAAGTGGGGAAGAGTATCGCATGTGAGTTGTTTAGCAGGACTTTCTTTCAATACTTTATGGAATTTATGATGCGATAAATCTCGATAAAGATTCGTTCCAATGGCAAAAGTCCCCGGCGTATATGGTGCTTTTTATCTCTGGCCCCTTCCTTCGCATATTATGACCCGTCGCACCAGCAATATTCCCCCCGTCATCATCCAGGAAGGGATATTGAGAATCGATTTTTATTCGCATATGAAGCCAAAAGGGAAATCTCTCGTGAATGTGTAGTGCTGGCGAAATTGGCGAAGAAGGGTTTTTGGCTGTACTGCGGGAAATCCAATCCTCTCTCTCTCTCGACGAAGAGATACAAAATCAAAAATTCGATGCAACGCCGTATGAAAGAGAATAAACCGGATTTAGATAAATACTCGTAGTTTTTCGATAAACCCTGCCGGAGAACTCACAGTTCCGGCATCACTACCGGATGTCGATGATATCCATTTTACTCTTCATGTGCAATTCACTGTGATGCTCAATTTTTCATGAAGCTCAAATGACCCATCCACTGCTTTTTTCAATCTCACTGGGAAATCTCCATGCATGTATGTATGTATAGCCATTGATACAAGAGTCGTTATTTTTCACATCGCCCGACAAAGAAAACTTCAGCATGTTAGTGAACAACATGCAAGAATTGCTTTCACCAATTCAAGGCCAGTTAATTGGAAAATTCTTGCAATTTTTCCATCAAAATCTCTTTGCATGCTCCAAATCCATTGATGGAAGGATGTTTGTCGAGAATTGATGCTGGTTTCGTCCCACTTACCAGCACTTATCGTCTCGGGAGCTTTAATTAGAGGAAAACATCCTGTATTTCTTCCCACATACATATCTACAGATATAACTCATAGGCGCGCCGTTCCTCCCTGCATTTGGAGCTCCTCGCTGGGCAAGTGGGTGAGCAAACATCCATTCTGCACGAAGAGAGAGGCTATTTAATACGGTTTTTCCTACTGATAAAAACTTTCCGTTCTGTTATCTTTAGCTACACTACGAAGACAAATGGTGAATGCGCTTTGACAGAAGAAGAAAACGAAAGGCAAAAAGCAATTCACCACACACACAGCCCAAATGACCAACCACGAGAATTTTCACAACGCACGGATTCCGCTCAATTTATGCTGTGCATTTAGAATTTCGGGTTGAAAATGCCTAATGAAATAGCATAACACAGAAAATCAATTACCAATGAGGTTGTAACACGGGAAACCCATGACATTCAGCTGTGTATGTGTGAAATATGTATGTGTAATGATGTACAGATTGGTTTGTTTCACCATTTATATCTGCGGCTTTGATTGACATT